GCAATGAAGAGTTGTCGAAGGATAAAAATTAGTATGACTAGAAGCAGACTTTAAAAGCAACTTCTATCAACATATTTTTTTCCACTATACCTGACTAGCATCTTAGTTCTCTATGGCAGTAGCAACAGTAAAATCGGCCATATTAAACAGGACTATCTTGAAAATTTTATTTCCAATTCCAAATGGAGCTTTATATTGTGTTTGCCCTAAATTTATTTATTCTTCTCTTCCAGATGACTATAAATGCAAAGTAGAGCTTATTTTGACACTTTCAACAATGGACAGATCATCCACACAGAAAATCAATACGGAAACATGGACTTATACTATGTTTTAGAACAGACAAACTTAACAGACGTTTAGAGAATATTCCATCCAACAGTAGCAGAATGCACATCTTCTCAAATGCACATGGAATGTTCTCCAGGATACATCATTTGTTAGGCCACAAAACATCTCTTAATAAATTTAAAAATATTGAAATCATATTAAGTAACTTTTTCAGCCATAATGCTATAAAACTAGAAATCAGTTACAAGAAAACTAGAAAATTCACAAATATGTGGAGAGCAAACAACATGCTACTGAACAACCAATATGTTAAAGAAGAAATCAAAAGAGAATTAAAAATTTCTCGAGACAAATATGGAACCACAACCTACCAAAACTAATGGGATGGAGCAAAAGCAGTTCTAAGAGGGAAGTCCATAGCAATAAATGTCTAATGATAATGAAAAAAAAAACCTGTTTAAATAAACAACTTTACACCACAAAGAAATAGGAAAAGAAGAACAAACTAAGCTTAAAGTTAGCATAAGGAGGAAAATAACAAAGACGAGAGTGGAAATAAAGGAAGTCAAGATTATAAAGACAATTGAAAAGATCAATTAAAGTAAGAGGAGATTTTTTGGAAAAGGTAAGCAAAATTGATAAACCTTTATCTAAACTTACCAAGAAGAAAAGAAAGAAGACTCAAATAAATAAAGTTAGAAACAAAGGAGGAGATGTTACAACTGATACCACAGAAATACAAAGGATCATGAGAGACTAAAACAAATAATTATATGCCAGCAAATTGGACCACCTAGAAGAAATGGAAAATTCCTAGAAACATACAACCTACCAAGACTAAATCATGAAGAAATACAAAATCTGAACAGACCCCTTACAAATAAAGTAATTAAATCAGTAATAAAAACCCTCCCAACAAACAAAAGTCTAGGGCCAAATGGCTTCACTGGTGAATTCTACTAAATATTTTAAGAATCAGTACCTGGGGTGCCTGGGTGGCTCATTCAGTTAAGCGCCTGACTTCAGCTCAGGTCATGATCCCAGGGTCCTGGGATTGAGCCCCGCATTGGGCTCCCTGCTGAGCAGGGAGCCTGCTTCTCCCTCTCCTGCTCTTCCTGCCTGTGCTCTCTCCCTCTGTGTCAAATAAATAAATAAAATCTTAAAAAAAAAAAAAAAGAATGAGTACCAATCCTCAAACTCTTCCAAAAAAATAGAAGCGGACAGAACACTTTTGAACTCATTTTACAAGGTCAGCATTACACTGATACCAAATCCAATCAAGGACAACTACAAGAAAACAAAATTACAGGCCAATATCCCTGATGAATATAGATGCAAAAATCCTCAACAAAATATTAGCAAACTAAATTCAACAATATATTAAAAAGATTGTACACCACGATCAAGTGGGATTTATTTCAGGGATGCAAGAATGGTTCGACATCCGCAAATCAATCAATGCAATACACCACATTAACAAAGTGAAGGCTAAAAACCTCGCAATCATCTCAATAGATGCAGAAAAAGCATCTGACAACATTCAACATAGATTCATGATAAAATCTTGTAACAAACCAGATATGGAGTGAACATACTTTAACATAATAAAGGCTACATATGACAAGCCCACAGCTGTCATCATGCTCAATGGTGAAAAGCTGAAAGCTTTTCTTCTAAGATCAGGAACAAGACAAAGATGCCTACTCTTGTCACTTTTATTTAACTTAGTATTAGAAGTTCTAGCCAGAGCAGTTAGGCAGGAAAAAGAAATAAAAGCCATCCAAATCAAAAAGGAAGACATAAAAATTTCTCTATTTGCAGATTACACATAATAGATAGAAAACTCTAAAAACTACCCCCAAAATTTTTAGAATAAAAAAATTCAGTAAAGTTGAAGGATACAAAATCAATATACAAAAATCAGTTGTGTTTCTATACCATGACAATGAACTATCAGTAAGAGAAAATAAGTAACCAATCTATTTACAATTGCATAAAAATGAATAATACACAAAGAATAAATTTAACTGAGGAGGAGAAAGATCTATACACTGAGAACTATAAGACATTGATGAAGACAAAAATAAATGGAAAAATTCTGTGTTCATGGATTAGAAAAATTAATATTATTAAAATATCCATATTACCCAAAGCAGTTTTATAAGGATTCAGTACAATCCCTATCAAAATTCCAATGGCATTTTTTCAAAGAAATAGTATGGTATTGGCATAAATACAGACACATAAATCAATGGAACATAATAAAAAGCTCAGAAATAAATCCATGCATATATGGTCAATTAGTTTTCCACAAAGAAGCCAATAATATACAATGGAGAAAAGATAGTCTCTTCAATAAATGGTGTTGGGAAAACTGGACAGTCAAATACAAAAGAATGAAATTAGACCTCTGTCTTACACCATACACAAAAATCAACTCAAAATGGATTAAATACTTGAATGTAAAACATAAAACCACAAAATTCCTGGAAGAAAACATAGGGGGTAAGGTCCTTGACATCAATTTTGGCAGTGATTTTTTTTTTGGGGGGGGGCTTGACACCAAAAGCAAAGATAATAAAAACAAAATAAACAAGTGAAACTACATCAAATAAAAAGCTTTTGCATAGGAAACTATCAACAAAAAGAAAAGACAACATACCAAATGGGAGAACATATTTACAAACCATGTATCTTATAAGGGGTTACTGTCCAAGACATATGAAGAACTCATACAACTCAATAGCAAAAACAAAAACAAGACAAAACATTTTAAAAATGGGCAGAGGAACTGAACAGACATTTCTCCAAAGAAGACATACAAATGGCCAACAGGTATATGAAAAAGTGCTCAACATCACTAATCATCAGGGAAATGTAAATCAAAAGAACAATGAGATATCACCTTCCACCTGTTAGAGTGGCTGTCATCAAAAAGACAAGAGATAACAAGTTGGAAAGGATATGAAAAAAAGGGACACCCTGTGCATCATTGGTGGGAATGTAAATTGGTGCAGCACGTATGGAAAACAGTATGAAAACTCCTCCAAAAATTATGGGGCGCCTGGGTGGCTCAGCCAGTTAAGCATCTGCCTTCGGCTCAGGTCATGATCCCAGGGTCCTGGGATCAAGACCCGAGTGGCTCCCTGCTCAGCAGGGAGCCTACTTCTCCCTCTCCCTCTGCTGCTCCCCCTGCTTGTGCTTTCTCTCTCTCTCTCTCTCTCTCAAGTAAATAAATTCTTAAAAAAAAGAAAGAAAATTCCTCAAAAAATTAAAAATGGAACTACCATATGATCTAGCAATCCCACTTCTGGGTATAAATCCAAAGGAAATGAAAATAGGATAGTGAAGAGATATCTGCACTCCCATGGTGCCTTGCAGCATTATTCACAATAGCCAAGATACAGAAACAACCAAAGTGCCCATCAATGGATGAACGGATAAAGTAGATGTGGTATATATATACAATGGGATATTATTCAGTCATGAGAAAGAAGGAAATCTTGCCATTGGTGACAACATGGATGGACCTCATGGGCATTATGCTAAGTTAAACCAGCCAGACAGAAAAAGGCAAATACTGCGTGGTATCACTTACATGTGGAAACTTAAAAACAACAACAACAAAAAAGTCAAACTCATGGAAACAGAGAGTAGAAAAGTGGTTTTCAAGGGCTAGGGGTCGAGAGAAATAGGGAAAGGTTGGTAAAAGGGTACAAACTTTCAGTTATGAGATGAATGAGGTTTGAGGATTTAATGTAAAACACGGTGACTATAATTCATAACACTATAAGTTTATATAATTGAAATTTACTAAGAGAATAGAACTTTTTGTTTCATCAAAACAACATAAATCAATGCTGTTTATTTTAATATTATAATTTTATACTTTTAATATGTAGATTTTTTCAAATTTTTTAAAGTTTTTTATTTTAATTCCAGTATAGTTAACATACAATGTCATATTAGTTTCAGGTGTACTATAACATAGTGATTCAACACTTCTGTACATTACTCAGTGCTCATCACAGTAAGTGCACCCTTCATCCCCATCACCTATTTCACCCATCCCCCCACCCACTCCCCTCTGGTAACCATCAGTTTGTTCTCTATAGTCAAGAGTCTAGGAGTACCTGGGGGGTTCAGTCGGTTAAATGTCTGACTCTTGATCTCAGCTCCAGTCTTGATCTCAGGGTCCTGAGTTAAAGTCCTGTGTTGAGCTCCACACTGGGGGTGGAGCCTACTTAAAAAAAAAAAGTTAAAGCATCGGTATCTTGGTTTGTCACCTCTTTTTTTTTTCCTTTGTTCGTTTGTTTCTTAAATTCCACATATGACGTTTGAATTTTATAGTTTTCTAATAAGTCTGTAACCATAAGGAATTTATACCATGTTTATGTAAGTAACATTGTATTTATATTATATTCAAGTAATTTGTTAACACTGAGTGTCATATATTTTTTTCCTTGAAGAGGGGTCTACTCACTACTTAAGTTGGAGACAAGATGTCCTAGGACCCTGAAAAAAATAAGGCATGAATAGATTATATACTGCACCCACATTTGCATTGTAATCAATCATGAATTCCAGTTTGCCTGGGGGCATTTGTTTTGTAAATGTTTCTTTGTGACTAAGGATGTAGAATTGTGGCAAAATTTCCTGTTTCATAATTGACTATGCCTATCACCACCTTGTAGAAAATAGGGTTTAAAGAAATCAGCTAGAGTGGCCTGCTTTCAACACTGAGACTTAGTGATGCAAGGCCACATCAGCTCCTACCAAAGATTCCTATTCACGCTCTGGGCCCATATGTAAGGTAAGGAGCTGCAGACTGAGAGGAACATCTATCAGCTTCCCCAAGATCTCATCAACAAGATCATCATCCCAAGAGCAGGCACCTGCAAGAAGACTGTCCCCTGAATCTGTGAGTTTACTGCTGAGACTTCAATCTGTTTTCACTGTGTCACTTTTAGTAAGCTCATCTTTAAAACGTATTCATCATTTGAAACCCGTTTGTCTTTTGTGGTGCCAATATTGTACTTTTACATTTTCCTTAGGGTCATGGAAGGATGCTGGCCATGGTCCATGCACTCACAGAAATTATGAACCATTTCTAAGGAAGGACTCAGTCCTTTTGAAGATTGTGTTAAAGGGAAAAGTAAGACAAAGTCATGGAGCTGCAGGAAGAGGATGAAATGGATAAAGAAAAAGAGAAGAAAATCATGTCTCAGCCCCAAAGTAAGGCTTTGTGGTGTAGAAATACATAGTTTCTAAATGAGTGGCACGAATTCATCTAAATGAACAAAATATGGATTATAAAAATGTTTAGTCTGTGAAAATTATGCTTGTTGAGAACAAATTTAATTATTCCAATTCAAAGCCAATATTTAAAGGCTCACGATGAAACCATTACTTTATTATTAAAAGGCTTGGCTTTTTTGTTAGATTCTATTTATGCTTTTCTGTTTCACTTTTATCAGTTCCGCAGGACAGGGCAATGGTGCAAAAAGGGGTTTACAAGAAGTGAGTATTGAGAAAGTCTCATCTTAAAATAGTTTTGCAACTTGTTATGCAAAATCACAGATGCAGAAAAATCATTAAGAGCCGTTAAGCAGATCAATTATACTATCTCTAGACCTGATATTTTTTAGCTCATTCTTTCACAGAGAGTGTTCTATTTGTATGCATAGAACAGCTGTACATGCTCACCTTCAAGCCTCTTGCAAGTACGCCAATATATCAGAGGGAAGTTTTCACTTAATTGCAATTTGGGTTAAAATAAAAATACAGCCAGGTCACTTCAGGAATTGTAGGCAGGAATAAGATTTAACTAATACCAAAACAGTACATTTTCATCACTGATTTTCTACTCCTTGTGTACCATGTACAGAAAAATAAGCTTACTGCACAATAAGAAATTTGTTTTTCTATGAGTTATTGTTGCATTCTTTTCTTTCTTTCTTTTTAGTAATTTTTCTAAGCTTATTTAGATTTAGACATCATTCTTTGAGTGGAGGTAACAGGATAAGAGAAATCATTTGCTTCAGATAGTCCTTATTTTTTGGTTCTTCTGTGATCTTTAATTCTGTTCTTGGATTCTTAATTGGTGGTTAAGAACATGGACTTTCATGTTGGATACGAGGATTTGAATCTAGGATCCTTTGCTTGCTGGTGTTGGGACAGTGGACAGGAGATTTTAAGGCTCATTTCCTCCTCTGTCAAATGGGGTTGAGTTGTACATGCCTTACAAATTTGTAATGAGAATTAAACAATATACAAAAGTGTTAGCATAGTGGTTGTCACATTGTAACTGAGCAATAAGTATCAGTTACCTTTATTTTATTTTTTAAAAATATTTTATTTATTTATTTGTCAGAGAGAGAGAGAGCATAAGCAGGGGGAGTGGCAGGCAGAGGGAGAAGCAGGCTCCCCACGGAGCAAGGAGCCCGGTGCGGGACTCGATCCCAGGACCCTGGGATCATGACCTGAGCCGAAGGCAGACGCTTAACTGACTCAGCCACCCAGGTATCCCCAGTTCTCTTTAATATAGGTATTAGCATTATGGGGCTTATGTATTTTTAAATGAGCTGATGTCTGCTAATAATTGTACATTTAAATATTGAGCTTCAAAGGGTGTCTTAGTCCATGAAGGCTATATGCTATAGCAAAATTACTCTAGACTTTATGGCTTATAAATAGCAGAAGTTTATTTGTCATAGTTCTGGAAGCTGGGAAGTCCTAAGATCAAGGTGCCAACAGATTTGGTGTCTGGTGAGACCCTAATTCCTGGTTCGTAGACAGCCATCTACTTGCTGTGTTCTCACATGATGAAGGGGCAAGAGAGCTCTCCAGGGAGCCTGGGTGGCTCAGTTGGTTAAGCAACTGCCTTCGGCTCAGGTCATGATCCTGGAGTCCCAGGATCGAGTCCCACATCGGGCTCCCTGCTCGGCGGGGAGTCTGCTTCTCCCTCTGACCCTCCCCCCTCTCATGTGCTCTCTCTCTCTCATTCTGTCTCAAATAAATAAAAAAATCTTTAAAAAAAAAAAAAGAGAGCTCTCTGGGGCCTCTTTTATAAGAACATGAATTCCATTCATGATCTTATCACCTTCCAAGGCCCCACCTCCTAATATCATTGGGGATTAGGTTACAACATAGTAATTTTTGGCAGACACAAACATTCAGTGGGTAGGGAAAGGTTAGGAACTGTGTTCTCTGGTAAACTGTGTATCCTGAGTCATGATGGTTTGTTTGCAGTACTGAGGTACAGATTTTCTCACATTTAGAAGTAATTTAAAGCTTATTAGATATTAAGATATTTAATATCTTAAACATAACCTAAGATGTTTAATATCTTAAACATAAACCTATTCTTTATATATTTCCATAAATAATATTTTATGTAGAGAAGCTATATGCAAGAAGATTTGCCTATGAATTAGAATATTTTTCTAGTCTGAGTGTACTGGAGAAAAATTTATATTATATGACATACAACATGGTTTCTTCATAAAGCTAACCAGTAGACTGAAATAAGGAGATGCTAATATTATCATTCTTGTTAAGGACTGTAGGTATAAAATTTTCAGAGCAGGGATTTAGACAGTACGGTATAGCTGATTAAGGATGGCTGTTCAAGGTCCCAACATGAAACAGATGGTACATTCAAATTAGAATAATTCGATGAAGGTTTATAAATAAAGGTAATATTATAAAGGTATAGGCAGAATGGAAACTATAGGGACTCCCAGGAGGTGATACTCCAGGCCTGAGAGCCATGAGCAGGGACAGGTAATCAGAACCAGGAAGGAGAGGGAATCATACAGAACAGACCATCTTAGAGGAACAGTGACCTTCTGTTGAGGAACACAGATAGTCCTCTGCTTGGAATAAATTCCCTGACCTCATTCTGCTCTCCTGCTAGATCTCCCTATTGGCTAAGCCCAACAGGATTGCCTGTTGCAATCCTCCATTAAGATCAACCATCCAGGGTAGACAGCAGAATGGAGGGAGGTAGAAAGTAAATCTGAAGGGGCAAACAGAAGGTGTCCTCACACATGCTGACATTATTGAAACCTAGAATTTGTTTCTTCTTGTTATTATATTCATTGGTGGCCAGTGTTTATAAAAGAGTTGAAGCTTTATAAACATGTACTAGATAAGATCCTTACAGGAATTAAGTTTTAAGCTATTTTTTGAACAATGAGAGAAAAGAACATGGCTTAAAATCCATGTTTTGTTAAAAAAAAAAAAACAGTGCTAGATCCATATTCCTAAATCTCATTACACCTGAGTGCTACCCTCTAAAATGTTATCTCAGTGCCCTGAGCTCCCAAGTTCTGCTCAGTGCTTACTTCTGTCATTCATTCACTCATCATTCAACAAATATTTATCGAGAGTCTCCAATATCCTAGGTATCATGTTAGGCTTTGGGTATAAAGTAGTAAGTAGAAACATAATTTCCAATCTGAATCTAAAAATATTTTTTGAAACCAATGGTTTAATAAAGAACTGTTTTGAGTGATATAGAGAAAGGCTTACCTAGTTTAGCAAATCTGTGTTCATAAAGGTAATCATCGAGAGCAATAGAACCACATAATCACTGAAAGTCCAAATCTAATATATAAACATAAAAATGTGAGACTGTGTGGCAGCCATTTATGTACTAAGGGCCATAGACTTTTTAGGTAGCATATTTCCTCCCTCCTAAAAGAAAGAACTTTATCTTAAATTTTAAGCTGTCCAACTCTGGAAAAGCTTATCCAAATATGATTTGTGAGACAAAGCACAGGGCCCTCGCAGGATCTAGAAAGCACTGCCCAATATAGTAACCAAAGAACTGGTAATGTTCGCAGTGATGTTCTAGTCTGCACACTCCGATGTAGTGGACACTAATACCCACTGGTTATGATGGCTCTTGTGCACTGAAAATGTCACTGAGCTGAAGAACTAATTTAAAATTTTGCTTAATCTTAATTAATTTAAATTTAAATAGCTACCTGTGGCTACAATAGTCGACAGTGCGAATCTAGAACAAGATGTGCAAGATGGGGCTTGCTAATTCATTTAATCTCATTTCCCTTTTCAACAGGGTTAACAACGGCTGTTCGTTCACTCATACCACATCATGTGTCTAGCAGCATGTCAGGTGGAGAGCAAATCAGAGCTAGGTTATAAGAAGTAACAAGTGTTGGGCGCCTGGGTGGCTCAGTTGGTTGGGCGGCTGCCTTCGGCTCGGGTCATGGTCCTGGAGTCCCGGGATCGAGTCCCGCATCGGGCTCCCTGCTCAGCAGGAGCAGGGAGTCTGCTTCTCCCTCTGACCCTCTTCCCTCTCGTGCTCTCTGGCTCTCATTCTCTCTCTCTCAAATAAATAAATAAAATCTTTAAAAAAAAAGAAGTAACAAGTGTTGGCAAGGAGGTGGAGACATCAGAACTCTTGTGCGTTGCTAGTATAAATGTAAAACGGTGCAGCTTCTGTGAAAAATGTCTGATGATACCACAAAAAAATCACACAGAGAATTACCATATGATCCAGCAATTCCACTTCTGGGTATACACACCAGAAAAATGAAAGCAATGACTGAAAAAGAAATATTATTCAGCGTTTAAAAGGAAAAAGATTCGGACACACATGCTATAACATAGATAAACCTTGAAGCCATTATGCCGAGTGAAACAAGCCAGTTACAAAAGGATACACATTGTTCCATCCTACTTATATGGGGCGGCTGGGTGGCTCAGCCGTTAAGTGTCTGCCTTCGGCTCAGGTCATGATCCCAGGGTCCTGGGATCGAGCCCCGCATAGGGCTCCCTGCTCGGCGGGAAGCCTGCTTCTCCCTCTCCCACTCCCCCTGCTTGTGTTCCCTCTCGCTGTGTCTCTCTCTGTCAAATAAATAAAATATGTCAAATAAATAAAAATAAATAAAAAAATACACGAATGTCTAGAATAGTCAAATTCACAGAGACAGAACATAGAGTGGTGGCTGCCAGGGGCTGGGGAGTGGGGGATTAGAGAATTAAGTGTTTAATGGGTACAGAGTTGTCAGCTGGGGATAGATAAAAAATTCTAGAAATGGATGGTGAGGGTTGCATAACAATGTGAATGTACTTATGGAGCTGAACTTTACATTTTAAAATTGTGACAATGGTAAGTTTTATGTCACAAATATTGTATCACACACAAAAAAGACAGGTTAAACTAATTAATATGTCCTCAAGGAGTTTGCAAACTAGCATGGCAA